CTTCAGAAATTTGAGGCGGCGTGAGCAGCGCACCACACACGGAGAAGCCTTCTTCATGACCGCCGTTCTGTTCGACACCTGCGCCACCTGATCCTGAGCCACCTCCTCTTCTTCCACATTCACTATGTCAGGGAGGAGGGGAAGGAGCTCGACGTCGATGGGCATTGTCTTGCCACCCTCGACGGCGACCGGCACTACCATCTACACAACGTCCTCCTCGCCCTCCTCATGGTCATCAGGGATGACCAGTACCTCCTGCACGTCGTCCTCCACGACGTCAGAGCCCAATGGCAGCACTGGCTTCGACACATGGCGGACCTGGTAGTCCGGGCTGACGGGCGCAGGGAGAGCGAGATCGACGTCGATGCGGTCCGCCCTCGACGCGATGCGTGCTGAATCTGGCTGCAGCGTCATGGTGGTAGAGCGGTACATCCACCACCTTGCGCGCTAAACAGGGGAGTCGCTCAGCGTGGCCTCTCGCATTGCCCACACGAGTAGGACAGTCGGCGGGACGCCGCGGCCGTAGAGGAAGGCGCGCTTCCTCTCGGCGTCGGTAAGGATTTTGACGAGGCCACGCGCGTGGTTGACCAACATCTCCGTGCTGGGGAACCAGCCGCACACCTCCGTCAACTGCGCGCGCCACCCCTCATCATCGTCGGCGAGGTCCATCATCGCTCTCTGCCAGCCGAGGCTTCTCTCCATGGAGGCGGCTGCAGCGGTCGCCGGCGAGGGTATTCTCGATCTATTGTAGGTGGGGATAAGAGGGGAGTTCGAACCGGCGCCCGTGGGAGGTGGGTGAGTGTGTGGTGGGGAGGAGAGTGGTACAGTTACTTATTTAATGGCATTTAGGACGTGGGCAGGGGAAATGTACAATATTCTTTCTACCTCCCGCCCCGGTCATTACACAGTAAAGAATTTTTTGATTTTTGTTTAGAGGGAAACATCTTACTTTATTTAAACAAAGACTGGGATCTCGTCTGCTAATACACTAAGGATACAATCAGGGGGCGAAAGCCTCCAAACCAAAGAAACAGAAGCGCCTACAGCTACCTTAGCCAAAGTATGAGCCGGCCGATTAACACAGTAAATAATTGAAGCAAGTGTTCTACTCTTGTTCCCTCTCTAATTATGCACATGATAGAAGACAAGCTAAGTTAATGAATGATACAAAATTTAATAATCCACAATGCATACAAACACTTACTTCTGATTTAGTTTGCATTTCTTGCTATGTCTAGTGTGTCCAACCAAGTTGCAAGCGCCGCACCGGGTTTTCAACTCATCAATAGAGAGTGGTCTACCATTTTTCGAGACAGGGCGGCTCTCATCTACCTTTGTTGCACCTTTGCTTGACACTTTCATAGGATCTTTAACCTCAATCATGTTGCCTTCATCATCGTCCACATATTCAACTGCACACTTACTGATGCCATTTGTTTGCTTCAACAAATTTTCCTGTAGCAGATCATACTCATGACTCTTAGCTATCACATCCTTCAAACTCTCCTGTAACTGATCCCACAAAGCAGGGTGTTTGCATGCCGCATGTATAGCTTCAGACGCTAACACACTGACCTGGCTATATTTCATTCTTTCCCGGGCCCCAGTCCAACCAAATCCCAACAGATCGCTTGTGCGCCTCGCGGGCAGTCCCAACCTTGCTTCTTTTGTGAACCGAATAAGAACTAAACACTTTGGTATTTTAGATATGTTCAAGTGCTTCAGTACATGGAATATGTGCTTGCAAGGTAGACCCTTTCGAATCATTCTTTTGCAGCTGCACCTTATAGTTTCTGCGGAATTTACTGGTGTATACTCCACCCAAAAACGGCGCCTCCGGTTATTCTTCCAGGCCATGATGTACTGCTGTGATTCATCTCCCAGCTTTATTTCTATAATCTCCATGCCATCAATTTTTTTAAGATCATCTTGCAACATATAGAAGTTTGCTGGAGTGAAGACGTGAGAAGCAGCTATCTCAAGTTCCCTCGAGCTAGTAATTGCCACCGGTAAACTCTGTGAGGCCATGCAGTCATCTCGCGCCTCGTTTTCACGGATACGCACAACGGTGTTCTCATAGTGCAAAATCATATCCACCAGGGTCATTTCACCGTCTAGGTGGAGGTGAAGGCATGAGTTCAGGCTTTCACTCTGCTGGTTGCTTTTCATGCCAAGCCAAAACCCTTCTGTTAGATATGCCGCGGCCCACGGTCTCCTCTTTTTATACATCCGCCTCAACCATGTTACAGTTTTTTCCGACTGCCATCTTTTGGAAAATGCGTGCCATCTCTCCTCAAACGTTACTGTGGACGTGCTGTAGTACAGAAGAGTTCGGAACTCCTTCAAGGACTTGTGACTGAGGTGAATCTTCATATTTTTCTCTATGTGCCACGTACATATACGGTGCCACACGTCTGGCAAGACTTCGCGAATTGCCTTGATCATCGCAGCGTCGGCGTCTGTGATAACACTCTTAGGCATCTTTTGACACATGGACCTTAAAAAAGTCTGCAGAAGCCACACGTATGTCTCCTCGGTCTCGTCCGAAACTATGGCACAACCAAAAACAGTGGTCTTCCGGTGATTGTTAAGACCAACAAAAGGTATGAATGGCATACCATAGCGGTTCATCTTGTACGTGCTGTCAAATACAAGCACGTCGCCGAAGTCCTCATAGTCATGACGAGACTGGGAGTCGCACCAGAACATCCTATTCAAATGTCCTTCCTTATCTAGCATGTACTCGAAAAAGAAGCTAGGATCCCTTTGTTTCCTACTAGACATGATGCCTATGGCTGTGGCAGCATCACCTTTTGAAAGCAACTTCCTCTTCTCCTTGGCGCAAAGGTTGTATATTTCACGCCTGGTAAAACCAACACCGCTGTACCATACATGTTTGCTGATGAAGCAATCCATCATGTCGTCAATTCTAATCCCTGCAGCTCCCATGAACATTATCTCATGCTTCTGGTACTCTTTGATTTTTCTGTGGGACCAAAGAAAAGGTACCTCGTTTGGTCCTGCCAACATATGGCTATGCTTATCCTCAAAACTTTCAACATACCAAACCCCACGCTTTTGGTCAAGCTTGACGGTCAGGTGCGCTTCACAAAAGCAGCGTGTCTCAGCTCTGAACCTACGGCTGTGTCCTTCCTCGGTTAGCAACTTGCTGTCACGTTTCCCTTGTCTTGAACAAACAAACCGCCTATAACGCATATGACATGACTCTGTTTTGCTATACCTAACCTTATTCTTTCTAATGTTGAAACCATTATCTCTAGCATAGTTGTTGTAGGAGTCATACGCAGCATCGTGAGACGTAAAGATCATTTCCATTATCTGCATGAACATATCCCTCTTATCATCTGCACTGGCAGTATCTTGAACATTCTTTGCCCCATCATCTTGTATCACCTACACAATCAAACCACAGCCATGAAAACAGATTTCTATGATTTAACATTACTTACTTCCATAGAACATTGATTACACACATACCTCACTCATGATGACCGACGACTCGGACTGCCTAGAACCAGGTGCATCTAATGATTCGTCGTTAAGGCCTGTCTCCACGTCGGATTCACCGTAATAGTCGTACGCATTATGACATTCCAAAATGAACTGAAAAATACAACACAAATACATAATTACTTATCATATAATATTCCAGAAGAAATTCAATTTGCATGCCAACAAATTTTTTCACTTACGTACCTGACTAATGTAATCTTCATTCGAGAGCTCCGAGTTGTTTTCCTGATCATTATCAAGCTCATCGATCTATAAATTTTCAACACAAATATTTAATGTTGTCGGATGCCACCAAAAAATTACAACATGACAATGCCACTCACATTAAGATCGTCCCATTCGTTCCCATTCTCTGACCGATCTTCACGATCTGAATTTTCATCATCTGACCAATCTTCTATCCAGTCTTTCATCAGTTCTCCAAACTCCATGTCTACCATGATATCGGTTAACTCCTCGTCCACCATTTCCTACAACCAATAATATGTATCATCACATGCGCAAACATTATCAATGATGAAATATAAAACACATAGCACACGATCACGGATGTTATGTAAACAACCGCAACCGAGGCTGTTCAGATCTGCCAAACTTAGTAAGGAAGATGGCCACGGTACCCGTCGTGATCACTTTCAATCGCGAGGAACTGCACGATCTCAAAACCTAGCTAGATCTGTGATTACCTCTGCCGCCGGATACCTAGGTTAGCCGCCACATCAAATAACGATACTGGTGGTGCACACAGCCGACGGCAACCGACGCTACGTGGACCCAGATCACGAGGAGCAGCACTACCGGAACAAGATCCACGATCGCATGCGCCGCCGGGTAGCTAGGTTACCCGCTCCGCTAGGTTAACCAGTGCCACTGGCGCGGCGACAGTTCGTTCGATGTTGCCGCGAGCAAGACTAGAGGGGGGACGCGGGATGCGGTACCTGTGCGCGATAGTTGGAGATTCACAACATTGTCGCGCCCGCCGTCCGACGAGATCGCCGGCGACGAGATAGCCGCCGGTGCAGATCTACTACGTGACTTATGGAGTTGCGTCAATGCTCACGAGATTGATGGAGCTGCTCGCGTGAATGATTGGATTCGGCAGGTCTTACGTGGACGTGGGGTCGTGTGATGTTTTTTTTTCGGACCAGGGTACTATACGTATACGGTCTGGGTTATACAAGGCTAGACAGGGCTTGGATCTGGGCTGCGGCGGGCCAGGAAAAAAACAAATTCACGGGGACAAAAATACCCCTCCGAAATTAGGTTAGGGGGGAGCACCGGAGCAGGCCTCAGTTTCAAAATAGGGTAGAACCTAAGATGACATCATATTTTTTTTCCCCTCTAATGCAAGCAAGCATGTGCATGTGAAGAGAAGGTTGAAGAAACTAGATCTATGGGCTACATAGTCCTATGGGCTACATGGGCATGCAGTTCATAGTTGGTAGGAGGCCCAGAAGAATAGATGATCAATGGTACTTGAAGGCTGCGTAGGTCTGGAGTATGGTTGAGACACCGGAGACGAAGGTGACCAAGGCCACGAACTCGGCGAGGAAGGTGTAGTAGTTGCGATCCGCGTAGGTCCAGCTCCGGCTCCGCTCCCTCAGCTTCTCCACCAGCACGCACAGGTAGCTCGACGTCAGCAGTTCGCCGCCAGCCGCCAACTCGCTCGCGGCGCCCACCATCCGGAAGAACCTCACCACCTCCTCTATGCTCTGGTTGCCCGCGCTGCCGTCCTGCTGCACCACCTCTGCCGCCAGAACCAAGCCCGCGTCCTCCGCCGTCTGTACGAGCTTCGTCATGAAACACATGTACGCCGACACGTCGGACAACGTCTTCGCTGACGCCAACGCTGACCGCTCGAACGCCATCAGGTTCAGCAGGAGTGGCGCCGTCCGGAACTCGAGCCGCAACTGCGGCAGCACAAGATAGTCCCCGTCCGTTAGCTCCACGACCAAAGGGACCGGGCCCATCACCGACGCGATGGCCGCCACGCTCGCCGTTATGCCCCTGACGCGCGCCTTCTTGAACTCCAGCCGCATCCGCTTCATGTCGCTTGCCGACGGCACGTCCTCCCGCACATGCCCCCTGCGGCCCTCGGGGGCAATCCAGCGCAGCAGAGGCGCCAATACCAGAGACGGTAGACCGCGCACCAGCCGCCTTACCGCCTGCTCCCAGCCACCGTCCAGGATGTGAGGTATCGGACGCCACCAGCTGGTCCGCGCCGCGGTGACCATCTCGTGGAGCAGGTGCAGGACGTGGGAGACCCCCTCGGCGGCCAGCAGCTCCTCGCTCATGCTGCGGCCCTTCTCGCCGGCGAAGTTGTACAGCACGAGCTTCATGAGCAGCACTGGCGCGGGGTAGCCCATGCACTCGAACTCCGGCAGCTTGGTGCTGGCGATGAGATCAACGAGCACGAAGAAGGGCATCTGGTTCTCTGCGAGGATGAGGTCGACGGAGAGCTGCGTTGGGCCGAAGGGCGTGGCGTGCAGCGACGGCTCGTCCCGGGCCGTGGCGACGTTCACGAGGTGCTCGATGATGAAGCAGCCGTCAAGCACCATCATCAGGATGAAGTCATCAGTGGCAATATCGACGACCTCCTCGCTGGCGTACATGGCCCGGGCCTCCTGCTCACGACCGGCGACGATGCGAACGTACTCCTGGATGACGGCGAGGTGGTGCGTTGGGTCCGGGTGACCACGGGAGATGAGGCTGTTGAGGTAGGCCACCTTGAGCCGTTCGGCGGGGCGGAGGCGCCGATCCTCACGGTTGTGAAGCGGGCCAATGGCAACGAACCACGGCGTGTAGGCGTCGGGGTTGCTGTCACGGTGACGGGCAGGGACACGGGACACCCGGTGTCTGCTCACCATGGTCCGGTGTTGCTCCTCCGCCGCCACGTCCTCCTGCTTCTGCATCAGGCTGCGCGCCAGATGTTCGATGTGCACCGCGACGTCGCCGCTGCCGGTCATGCCTCCACCTCGCTCTCTAGCCATCATTCGTGATGATGGTGGATGATCACTTTAAACATATGCAGGGCTACATATAGAGGGGCAGAATGGAATCTAACGCAGAATGTAGTATGCTTATATACAAATATATCCGTAGCTTCCGTCAGCGATAAAGATGGCATGGGGGAAAAGTGTGTGCTAATTCTTTTCTTTACTTGTACATGCAGATCATACGAGATTCATTCATCGTCTTTGTGTAAGCAGTGCCCAACCTTGTTATTCGACAAATCCTTCAACTTTATCATACGAGGATTTGAGGGACTAAAACATATACGAGGATTTTTTGAAAACTCAAAGCTCATCAACTTTGACCAAGTTTGTGGAGAAAAATATTTACATCTAGAATGCGAAACATATATCATTAGATTCATCATAAGACGTAGTTTCATATTTTATATATTTGGTACTGTAAATGTAAATAGTTTTCTCTACAAACTTGATTACAATGTTTGACTTTCCAAAAAATCTATAGACACTACATTATGGAATGGAGGGAGCATACATACTTCGGGAAACAGCAGATCAAACCTGGGGGCATAGACCATCTGGGCCACCGCTGCTGCCAAGCTCTCTGCGCCGTCTCGCGTTTGTGCATATGTCCAAGCATGGTTCCTTCAGGGCCTTGTCGGTGTCGATAGGTGGGGGTGGAACTCCAAAGTTGAACTACAACGAGCAACAATTGTTATTGGAGAGTGCTTCTTTGGTGGCACTTGGTTGCAGAAAGGGATAAAAACGAGCATAGTTGTGAGCTTTTGCTTTAGCATAGCAAGATTACATGATTCCTGAATTCTCTTTACCTGGCAGCTATAGTCTTCAAAATTTGGCTCCATATACAAATCGACGCCCATGTGATCGTTGAAGAAGGTCTGAAAGATAGGAGTAAAGATAGACATCAGTTTTTAATAAAAGCCGCTAAATAAACTTCTAGGCGAAGGAAGTATTTTTCTTTTCTGAAGCTCCAATGCGGGATTGAAACTTAACCATTCAAGGAGCATTTCTTGCTGGATCTGGTACAATTTTGGGTGAGAAATAAGTTTTCAAGATCTATTCACAATTAGGAAACATCGACGTTCTCAAGCGGTTTCAGTAAGCAGATTATACAATTCCAGTTTGCTAAATTGATATCACATGCCTTTGGGTTTGGGAGACGAAGTTATTGCAGAAAAAAGGCTGCGGACAAGTACAAATCTAGAAATACAACCCATAGACACACCTGGGTTGGCAGTTTGCACGTATTGATACAAATGCCAAGACATTTGCTCTCTTCCAAATATTTACACTTCTCGACAAACACCTGGCAATTTCCATAATGACATATTAACAATTCGAAAGTCTTCGTGAACGAAATGTAAATAGAAGACAGAAGAGATCAATACCCCACTTGACAACGACTTCCCATTGGGCAGTGCCACAGAATTCACTGAACATGTGCCCATCAGCCATTGGCAAGAAAGCGCTGTTGCTCTAGCTTCAGGAGTCAAACGGATTGAAAGTAAGAAAAATAAGACCACCGATCACGCTAAGTTACGGTAATTTAATTCCGCAGTTGATCGCTACAGAGAATTGAGTCCTGAAAGTATTACATGCACAGCCTAAAATGTCTGACTTGCAATGAACTCACCTACCATCATGGATGCAAGTTGGCCATTAGCAATTGGTGCTAAAAGTGCTTTGAAAAGGACTAGCAACAGAGGGGGGAATAGTGCCTGGAGTACTCGGACCTGAAATTTGTAGAAAGAGATACAGAAAAGGATAGATAACTGATATTAGCTTTTTAAATCCTGTAAATATGGCAGAAGAGGATTACAGATGAATAATAGAAGTGGCATACAGCTGATTGCTCAGTCTCCGAAGCATTCTTCCCCTTGATCATAAGGCGATTCGCAACTTCAATCAGCCCGTCGTATCCAGGCTTTTGAGAATCCCACCCAACCTCCTACAGCTTTGTGTACAGAGAATGAGAGAAATTAACAGATTTTACAGATGTAACAAGCACAACAGCAGTGGTTTAGTCTCGTTTTATTATTTCATCATGTTCAGTCCAAATAACAGCAAGAATTGAAATGTGTTGCATGTGAGTCGAGAACTGAGGTTCAGATTAGCCAAATCTGTATCATGTCATAATTTCTGCAGTCAACCCCATGAATCGGGGAATCGCTTCATATCGGCACTGAACAAAAATCACTTGCATGGCGGAGAGGAGATAAGTAGCCAAGTAGAGAGAAGAAGGGGACGGGTGGATCGACGGCGCTCACCTCCACCATCTTGGCCCGGAAGAAGACGAGGAGGAAGTCGTCGGCGAAGGAGGGCCGGTACTCGCCGCCCTTGCCGGACGGCGGCGCTTCCACCTGAAACATCACCACGAATCAAGAAACTGCGGTGTCCCTTCCAGGGCATCGAGGCTAGCTAGAATACCTAATTACGTACCGGCGGCGAGGAGCAGTAGAGCCGGGAGGCAAGCCGACGGCTGGGTCCCCGAGCTGATGGGGCTGAGGAGGACGGAGCGCGAGGTGGGCAGGATGGGAGGGCGGGGAGGAGGTGGACGTGGAGACGGCTCGTGGTCGGAGTCGCCATGTGCGTGGACTGGACAAGCGCCGGCGAGCGAGCTCCGGCTGTTGGCCTGTGACAAACCGTAGGAATCAACCAGTCAGTGCGTGGTGGTGGTGGATAGCCGGCGGAGGCCCACACGTCAGCGACCTCCCCTCATTCCTTTTATTTTTTTTATGTTTAATTCTCCGGGCTGCAATGCGGTCCAGACTACCGACCGACTCTCTGCCAGGCCCCTGTATCCCTTTTGGCCCAAGAAATCGATCCGCCAAAGCAGTGAGGCCAACTCCGCGACCATATCTTGTCCGCCCCGGTCCGTTTGGGGTAAAAGGAACAAATGAGCGTGCGCAAACGGACTTTTGTCCGCTTTCGACCCATCCCCGGCCCAAGTTTGTGTCGGTTTTGGAGTGAAACGGACAGCGCGTGGACGGGCGGGACGCGTGCGCTTGTCCTCCCCTGGCCTGCCTGTCGGTGGGAGAAACCAACCCCTCACCCCCACGCCCATTTGGCGCCATTTTCCACAAACCCTCCCACGTCCCTCCCTCCCACCCCCTCTAAGAGTGGCATCGGCTCGATTCAAAAGAGATGGTTGTTCATCCAACAAGAGTGCAACAAGTATTACGCCGCATTTGAGAGCGTTGAAACACGGCCCGTGAGTGGTCTCGGCGTTGGGGACATGGTATGCTCTCCTCTTCCTAGCCCTTTCCTTACTACGGCCATGACACTTCGGTCGTGTATATGTTTGCATGTTCACTTGTTGTTGATCATGTGATTTAGGCATTTCAATCTTTGGAGGCATTCAAGGCCCGGCACAATGACAAGCCATTCACTCTTACGCATTGTTGGACGATTATCAACAATTGCCCTAAGTTCAAGGACCAATACCGTGAACTACAAAGGAAGAGAGGACTAAAGACGGCCAAGTACGCCGGAGGGGGAGATGGCGAGGCCTTGAAGAGGCCGAGGGGCAAGACCAACTCCAAGGTTGATGACATACGTGATGCCTCATCCATGGCATTGCATGACACTTTGCATGGCATGATGTCCCAAAAAGATGTGAGGGACGAGAAGAAGCGGCAAAGCAAGGAGGAGCAAATGAAGCAATACCAAGACCTTCAAACAAAGAAGCTTGAGATGGAGGAGGCGGCCAAGAGGAGGAAGATCGACATGAAGGAGGCGGCCCGGCAAAGGCAGATCGACATCGAGGCCGACAATGTCAAGGCCAAGCAGAGGCAGCTCGACATCGAGGCCATGAACGCCGCCACCAAAGCGAAGGAGGTGGCCCTTGCGATCATGAGCGTGAACTTGTCGAAGATGAGCGACAAGACGAGGGCCTGGTTTGAGGCCAAGCAGAAGGAGATGCTCGAAGCCGAAGGTCTGAACTAGGTCGTCCGATCGGCCATGGCCGTTCTTTTTGGAGGCTGGCATGGGTGCCGCCCGCCCGCTGGGCTGCTGGCTGTGTGCCGGCGAGAAAACATTCATTTTGGTGGCCGGCTGTGTTGCCGGCCGCTGGCTGTGTTGTCGGCGAGTACAACTATTCATTTTTGGAGGCTAGCTGTGTTGCCGGCCGCTGGCTGATGCCGGCGATGGACGTGTAGGCCGCTGGCTCTGTTGTCGGCGTGATGAACCGGGGCCGCTGGCCTGAACTAGGGTTTGGCATTTGAAACGTTGCTTCTGCTTTTTTAAATAGACACGGACAGGATGGGGCAAATGGATGCGGCCGCGCGCTGGGCGCACGGCCACCGCATCCCAGGACACGTCCGGACATGACCCCAAATCGCTACCCAAACGGACGTCCGTTTGGGGTCGCGCGGTGGAGTTGGCCCGACAAACTCAAAAAAAAAAACTCAAGAGACGACAGAGACTACCACCAAATTGTCCAAAAGTTTCGCAAAAAAAAAGTCCAAAAGCACACAGACTTACTAATTCCTCCTAGTGGAAAAGAACAGAGCCTACAAAAATCTCTTAAGCAAAGAATATTTTACTAAAATCTGCAATCCATGTACTACTACACAAGACATACAAGAGTTTTACACAAAAGAGGGGCCAGCTTAACTAGCTAGAATACAAAGTTTCAGCTACCATATATGTAGGGATTGTGTCTTGTCTTAATTTCCAGGGAGCTAGTCTTGACAGGAATGGTTCTAGTTCATGTCCCCAGATGATTGAGAAAAGCCCGAGCAAAGACTCGACAGCATTCTTGGTGGGGTATAACAAGGAAAACAAAAATGTCTACACAGAATCTTTGTGATGCATGTGAAGAGTAAATCAAAGGAGTATTAACAGTCACTCCAGTTGGTATCAAATAAAGCCTGAAACAATTCTCGGAATTTCGCAAACCAGATTAAGATCATCAGTGAACTGTAACAAACAGTCAAACACAAACTTGTCCAGAACATCTTCACAGAGCCCGAGCAGAGTGTTGCCAACCCCATTGATGCCAGTCCAGCAAGATCTGAAGAGATAATAAAAATTCTTCTCAGTGTGGATCAACTTGACAAAACGAATAAAGTTAAGGAATATAACGTTTGAGTGTCAGGTTATTACATCATGTTTTGTGCTGCTCCTGTGTCTTTGCTCTCACTCTGATCCCCAGGCTATGTTGTAAAACAACTGACTTTCAAGTTGTAAAAGAGAAAGTAAAAGTCGCAGCAGTGGAGCATTTAGGGCACCAAAACCAGACAGGACTGTACATGTGCGTGAGAGCAAGAATTTCTCGTCAAGCAAATGCTTTAGTTCCTTCTCCTCTGTCACCAAAATGGTGTTGGTGCCTTGTGGACTTAAGCGAAAACTCGCACCGGTGAATTCTTGGCTATACATTTCCCTACATTACGAGGAGCAGGAAATTTGTTAAATCTTCAATGAAGTGTGCTCTCAATAACAGAAAGATAGCATACTGGCAATACTTTTATTACCTGTATTCAACAATCTCTTTTTTCTCAAACATGCAGGAGATATGTGTATCATTATATTAAGAAGAAGAAATGGGACAAGAACCCATACAGCAGCCATTCAAACACGCTACGCACGCCACACTATTGTTCTTAGACTACATTCACGCCTGTTTATCATTAAAAAAACGATCAGACAGGACTACGACCAAACAACTAAGCTCCAAGGGCTAGGGCAGTCAAGGAAGAGAGGCCCCGTCAGCCTGCAATCTTCTAAAGACATCACTCATCGCCGGCAGTGTATTCAAAAATCTCCATCAGTGCTACTGACATCATATCCACTAAATGAACATAGCATCAGCAATCTCAAAAATCCCTTCATTAGGGACCCGTTTTCCCTGACATATATCACAAATTCCCCACACTTAAAGTAAATCTACCCTTGCAGGCATAGCTGAGAATGATATCTGCTAAAAATGCATTCATATCAAGGAAAGTGACTGTTTTAGAGATATTATAAAATCCTGGGTGGTTGAAACAAACCATGCTAGAAAAGCTAGAATTGGTGTTCATTGTGCTTCTTATGGAAAGAGCACCTATATATACCTTCCCTGTTCAACCAGAAGCCATTATCCCTAAAAATGCAACCAGTTCTGCTAGACTATGTGGCCCACCTTTCCATGCCCAAAAAAGCTTAATAGATACACAGATATGAACTGAATGAAAAAATGAAGGACCGATTTTCTACAAGCAACTAATTTGCATTTATTATACCAGCAGGAGACCCAGATGGCAATGGAATAAATAAACTGTACCTTCCAAGGAGTTATACACATCCAATGAATCAACTACTCAACTGTGTCTGACTCCAAAATATTGATACCTTTCAGGGAGTGATTTTATTTGCTCATGATATTTTCCTTCCGTTGAAAATAGATGCCTCATCAACAAACCAGTTGAAGCTTCAAGTGAGATGCTCTTCCCATCAACTTTAGACAAATAATTTCCAGCCTTGACTATCTCACCTTTTTCTAGCAACATTCTAATGATATCATTTAACAGAACAGAGCTGGGAGCATAACCACTCGTCTCCATTGATGAGAACATATGATCAGCTTCTTCCATTGATCCTTCTTTTAAAAGATTTGTTATCATTATTCTGTAAGTAGAAGCATTAGGTACCAATCCATTGGCAGATATTGCAGCAAACAAAATGTTAGCTTCTTCTCTTCTTCGAACCCTGTACATTGCATCAATCATGGTATTGAATATTGTAATATCGAACTTCACATCCACTGCACCTAATTTGTGGAACAGTACGATTGCTTCCTCGGTGCAATCATTCCTACAAAGTTCTCCAAGAATTATACCGTATGTGGAAATGCTCACTGTTGTTCCATTTTCAATTATCTGATGGGCAATCTCCGCAGCTTCCTTGCTTCTTCCATGGTTGCAAAGGGAGGACACGAACGAGTTGCGAGTAACATCATCTAGTATAAGACCCCGGCTTGTCGTTTCTCTGAATATTTTTACTGCCTCTTCCCACCAGCCCAAAGAGGAATATCCCTGGATGATACACTTATATGTCACGTTGTTGGGTCGAACATCATTATCAACCATATGCCGAAGGAACGACTCTGCCTTGTCCATTGCTCTTGCCTTGCACAGCGCATCAATCACTTGGGTGTATGTCACCACATTAGGCTTAACTCCTTGCTGCACCATTTCATTGAACAGCTCGCATGCCTTGCTTACTTTGCCTTCCTTGCAGAAGCCGTGGATGACAGTGCTATACGCCACCACATTAGGGGCGCAGCCACCTCCCTCTTTCCACATCATCTGGAGCAGGCCGAGCGCTCGCTGGCTCCTGCCATCGTCACACAAGACCTTCAGAACAACGGAGTATGATAAAGCATCAGGTACACGGCCGAGTTCAGGCAACCTATGGAGCAGCACGCTGACAGCCTCGTCTGTCCGTTTTGCGAGGCAGAAGCACTTGATGAGGGCGTATGCGTCGACGCCGTCTGTCCTCAGGCCCGTCCTGAGGAGGCGGCCGAAGAAGGCAAGCCCCAGGCCAGGGCGGCGCGCGCGGCAGCAGCAGCGCATGAGGATGCCGTAGGTGTGGGCTGTAAGAGGCGACGCATGTCCATGTGGGCTGGCTCTCGGCACAGGCGGTTGAAGATAGAGACGGCGAGGGAGGGGCTGTCTCTGCAGGCGGCGGAGGCTGGAGCACGGGCAAGGGCCGCGAGGAAGCCGTTCAGGGCTGGACCAGGGACCGGGGTTGGCCGCTGCAACAATTCGTCGAACAGGTGGTGTGCGTCTGCCGGGCTGAGCGTCCCGGCGCGGACGCGCTCCGTGGCCGCGGTGAGGGCGGCGCTGGGATCCCAGCAGCGTGGGGGCGCCGAGGTGGAGGCGGAGGTGGAGGAGAGGCGGCGGAGGAGGCGGGGAGTGGGCGTGGTGGAGTGGAAGCGAGGCATCACTGCCATGGACACCGTGTTTGGTGCTTGCGGAGTGGCCGAGCGTTTTCCATTTTGGACTTAGAGCATCTACAACCACATATGACAAATACGACCCTCAAACACCCACGGTCAATGATCGGATATGCCTTAAATTTCACTTATTGCATCCGGACATCTCATACTAGATTCTTAAATTCATACAAGAACATGCAAACTAAAATAAACCTACGTACTACGTCGATCAACTAGCTACTCGAGTACTCGTCGTCAGAGATGTCAACGATCTCCATACCCGGCTCCGGCAGCATGGGCGCCAGCTGCATCTCCGCCTCCTCCGCGCCTCCAGCTGCTCCGCTCCGGCCTCCTCCGCGTCGAGCTCGTCGAGGAGCGCGTCGATCTCCGCCTGCTGCCGCCGGAGGAATGTCCGGTTGGCCTCCACATAGGCCTCATATCGGATGGCATGCTGCTTGGTCATCTCGTCGGACTAGGCGGCGACGAACTCCACCTCCGCCTGCTCCATGTTGAAGGCCGACACCTGCTGGTTCGGCTCCTCCACCTCCTCCTTGTCCTCCACCTCCATCGGAACCATCTCCTCCTCCTCCTCCTCCTCCGGCTCCGGCGAGTTCGGAGGCAGCCCGGCAGCAATGCGGGCGGCGCGCGCCCGCCCGGATTTGCTATTGGATCTCGTAGTGGCGCTCCGGCGTCAGCATGGCATAGTACGTGACCTTGCTCTGGACCATGGTGGAGTGCCGGAGCGTGGACAGAGCGCTGGAGCAGGAGAGGGAGGAGGTGGATGGGCTCAGACTGGCGGCATGGAAAGAGGGAGGGGGTTGGGTTAGGGTTGCGGGACGCCGGCCGGCTTAAATAGCCGAATTTCGTCTTAGGCGGCGAATCGGAGCGGCGCCACGCGGTGTTCACACTGCAGCAACGGACGCGGTGTCCGTTGGACCGCCCGGTTTCCGATCGTTTCCGTGTGGGATCACGCCGTCAAGCCGACGTGACGGGCGTGCCCAGACACCCCCATATCCGCCCCATATTTGGGCTGGATATGGGGGGTGCCGGTCAGTCCGGGCATTTAAGGACCGTTTGAGAGGCCCTTCTGGGTCACTGTAAACTTCTTGTATGGAGCGTAGTGTTTTCACGAAATCTTCAACAAAATCAAAGGGCGGGCCGCAAACCAAACCATCACACCTAAATCAAGGGTGGATTATGTAGCACTAGAGAATGGGCCTACGCTTGGTTAAGTTTCTGCAACACAAACAATTCAACTAGTACTGTCAAAAAATAAATTCAACTCACGAGGAGCCAGCAAGGTTTCTAATTTGAAAAATCAACACATGTAGTGGAAGTTGTGGCCTCCTCCTTTGTTAGTGGTCTTCAGGTTGCACCAACAACTTTTTCGAGGAAACATATTGGATTAGAATCCCTCGACGCATGAATATTGCGACTGAACATTTTTTTTTCTTTGTTTACCATCTGCCCCGAACAATCTTCATACAGCCCCCACAAAAAAGTAAAGAACAATCTCTCATACAGCCCCCACAAAAAAGTAAAGAACAATCTTCTTACAGGGAAATGATCCTCCCTAGGACACCTGCCTTCTCAAATTGAAATGTTCATCAACACCACAGGATCATCCTCATATAAATGGTTTATGCCAAGAGCAGTAGCACAGTAGTGAACGCCATCAATGGATCTAACTGTATTCACCTAATTAATAAACACGGACAGGCCCTCAGCATAGATGATAGCTATGGAGATAACGGTTTTAGCATCATACCTTTGATGAAGCTCCACTCTACACAGTCTTACGCGTTGTTCATATCAAGCTTGACCCCAGCCAACAATTATTTTCCCTTCCTCTTACCCCTAATATGCTGTGTAAACTCAAAAGACAGGAGGATGTTGTTTGTCATCAATCTTCCCCATCTTCCTGATAAGAAGGCACTCTGAATTAGTTCAGGTAAAACTAATTCCGGGAGATTCACCAAAACCTTGGAGATAATTTTATAAGGAACGATAAATGAGATTATGGGCTGAACTCTCTTTTAATCTCATCGGATTTTTGACTATCGGGGTGAGGGTCACCATTGCCTCCCCATACGGATAACGTATCTGTTTTCAGAAAATTCAGTACCACATCCTTAACTCGCTGCCCAAAAAGATCCCGTAATGTCTTGTAAAAAATAGCTGACGGCATTCCATGATACAATTAAGAGCATCTTCTATTTGTTCCTCGCTATTAGCGTGCCAGCAGCATGTGTTTCATCTCATGTGTTATCCTTGGCTCAATAGCATTTGGCAGCTCTAGCTATCTGGAACCTGCATGGGAAGTGAAATGGCCTTTCTAGTAGTTACTACCAAGAGATTTTAACTACAAGAGAAATGACCATTTTAACATCACCTTTCAGCTTTTCAAAATTTGTTAGTTTTCATCCTCTCTGAAAAACAGGAAAGAAGTATGAAATACTCCGATTTCCTTGTACAGCAAATCATTGGGAGCATACAGTTTCCAGTACAGGTTATGCTGATCCTTAGGTCTCTCCAACTTGTACTTTAGTAGTTGTTTACGAGAGCTTAGCAATGTTGTGCGCGTATTCTTCTTTAGCACTTTCCTGGCATAGAACATGCACATAGAGCATAGAGGCAACATCAATGTGAACCTCCATTCCTCCAAAACCACAGACCAAAAATACATGAGCTAGGAACACAAGACTTTTTATCAGGGTGCATCATCTATTCTGGAAGTGATACCTACAATTAATATTTGAGGTTGGTACATCATAACCCTTCGTGATGGTGTTACCCAAATAAAAATACTCTATGGCAGTACGAGATTACAACAATATTACTTGGAGGAAACTTCAGACATTGGATGGAATTGTGCAGGCATATGTCTAGTACTCCGTATTTCATTTCAGATGCATCAGGCTATTAACAATGATGCAAATCCCATCCTAAAACATGAAAAACAATAACAATTAGTATTCATCACATTTTATATCGTAAACACTCATTGCTTACTCATCATGTAAAGTGCACTATGTAAATGGTACTAGAATTACAATTGTAGTGGGTTTAGCCTAGCATAGTCATGTAGTTAGTTATTTCGATAATCATAATGCACATGTTGGATACTTGTATATCATGTAATGTGATGCCTAATTTGCAAGGGAAACAGAAGTTTAAGAAAGAATTACACAGTTTATGGTTTGCAGTTGAATAACAAATTAAGAAATTGGATGATTGAACAACTCTATTAATTAATACTATATAACAAGAAAACAAAAATGAACTGAATGAAGGAATGACTGACCGATTTTCTACAAGCAAGTAATCGGAATTCCTTAACCCAACAAGAGGGCCTGATGGCACACAATAACTGAACTGAGCCTTCTGAGGAGTTATGCCCAAACACAATGCACTACTCAACTGTAGCTCCACCAAAAAATTGATACTTTACAGGGAGCAATTTTATTTTCTCCCTATATTTTCCTTCCCTTGAAAAGAGACGTATCAGCAGCGAAGTAGTTGAAGCTTCAAGTGAGATGCTCTTGCCATCAACTCTAGACATATAATTTCCAGCCTTGACGACCTCACCTTGTTCCAATAATATTCTGATGGTATCATTAATAAGACGAGAGTCCGGAGCACAACAGCTCTTCTCCATTGATGAGAGCATGTTTTCAGCTTCTTCCACTAATCCTTCTTTTAGAAGATTTGTTATCATTGTGCGGTAGGTAGAAGCATTAGGTACCAATCCACTGGCCGATATTGAAGCAAACAAATCATTAGCTTCTTCTCTTCTTTGAACCTTAAACATTGCATTGATCATGGTATTGAGTATTGCAACATCCAATTTTATATTCATTGCACGTACTTTCTGGAACAGCGTGATTGCTTCATCAGTGCAATTATTTCTACGAAGTCCTTCAAGAATTATAGCGTATATTGAAAGGCTCACTGTTGTTCCACTTTCAATCATCTCATGGATCATTTTCTTCGCAGAAGCAGTTCTCCAAGCACGAAACAACCCATTTAGTAAGGTGCCATATGTAGCAGTTGTAGGTTTAATTTTTTTATGCATCATTTCGCTGAATAGTGTCAACCCATCATCAATCCTTCCATTTCTAGAATAGCCATCAAGAAGGGTAGTATATGTATAAACATCAGGCTCAATGCCAGCTGATACCATGTCATCAAGTACTTTGAATGCTTTATCCATCTTGCCAACTAAACAATATCCGTCAATCAGTGAAGTAAATGTAATAACGTCAGGCCTCTCACCAATGTTTATAGCCAAGTCGAAGATACTGTGTACATCTGTAACTCTTCCTTCTTTGCATAGACTGTTTATTACTGAGCTGAAGAACACAATGTTTGGACGAGGCATACCTTTGTTCATCATTTCAGAAACCAGCTCCTTCACTTTCCCCAAATCACCATGTGTACAGAAGCCCTGAATTAGGGATGTATAAATAGCCACGTCCGGTTGTAATCCCGTAGCAATCATCTCATTTAATTTGCCCATTGCATCAGACAGCCTACCCATTCTGCAAAGTGCAGCTATTACAGTTGCATAGGTGCATACATTCGGACTCACTCCTTGTTCCCGCATTTTGGTAAATATGAGCATAGCTTCATGCATCATTCCACATTTAGCATATGCATCAATTAATATGTTGAAAACATTGCAGTCAGCTACAATACCATTGCCTTCCATTGAATTAAAGAGATTAATCATATCAGCTAAGCATCATTCGCTAGCATACCCGTGAAGAAGAGTAGAGTACACGACGATATTAGGTTTAAGGCCCTTGGGGGTCATGGAGTCAAAAAATTCTGCAGCTTCTTTGCTTCTTCCATTCTTGCAAAGGGAGTACATGAATGAGTTCCATGTATACATATTTGGTCGAACACCATTATCAACCATCTGCTGAAGGACCAACTTTGCCTTGTCCATTGCCCTGACCTTGCACAAGGCATCAATAATCGAGCTATATGTCACCACATTAGGCACAATCCCTTGCTGCATCATCTCATGGAATAGATCACATGCCTTGCTTGCTTCCCCTTCCTTAAAGAAAGCATGAATCACTGTGCTATACGCCACCACATTGAGGGAGCCGGCACCTCCTTCTTTCCTCACCATCTGGAGCAGGTCGAACGCTTGCTGGCTCCTGCTATCGTCACATAAGCTCTTAAGTACTATAGAGTATGAGATGACATTAGGCACACATCCGAACTCAGACATCCTATGAAGCAGCACGTTGATAGCCTCATGTGTCCGTCTTGCGTGGCAGAGGCACTTGAGGAGGTTGTTGGCGACGATCTGGTCTGCCTTGAGGCCCATCCTGAGGAAGCGGTCGAAGAAGGCAAGGCCTAGGTCCGGACGGCGTGCACGGCAGCAGCTGTCCATGAGGATGTTGTATGTGCAGACTGTGGGCGGCACCACCCGCGGTCCTGCTTCTTCTCGGCAGACGCGGTTGAAGAGGCCGAGAGCAAGGGAGGGTCCATCTCTGAGAGCAGCGGAGGACGGAGCGCGGGCGAGCGCGGCAAGGAAGCCGTTGAGGGAGCGCTCGGGGACGGGGTTGGCCTGTAGTAGCAATTCGTCGAACAGGTGGTGTGCGTCTTCAGGGCTGAGCGTCCCGGCGCGGGCGCGCTCCGTGGCTGAGGCAAAGGCCCCGCGGGGATCCCAGCGGCGTGAAGGCAGGGGGAGGAGGCGGAGCATGGGCGTGGTGGGGTAGAGGCGAGGCATGGGATGGGCACGGCCGGGAGAATATCTGGTACTTCCATCCTTATATACTCCCGGTGCTCCATGTTTAAAAATATATCTTAAATATTTCCAAAAATTTCGGAATAAAATGTGAATGTTCGCAAGGAATGTGGCTACAACTCCTAAAAATTTCAGGTCCAAACTTGAAATGTACATTGAGAAACAAAAATGTGAAATCCAGATGTGAATAGTGCCAGCGTTGATTCTGTCTTTTTCTTTACACTATTCATGCAAGATTTCACATTTTTGTTTCTTAATGTGCACTTCGAGTTTGGATCTGAATTTTTTATGGGTTGTAGTTACATTTCTTGCGATCATTTATATATTTTTTTCTGATTTTTTAAACATTTATGAGTGATTTCTTTAAACTTGGAGCACCAGGAGTATCCCAGGATGGGAGTACCTGATATTTTCCCGGGCACGGCCTTCGCGTTCGCGCTGGTGGAATGGTGAGGAGAGGTGCGTGACTGAGAGGAGTCTCCGCTGTAACAAATCGGAAACGGGTACAATGGTCTCCTCGTGTGATTTTTTTATTTCTCATACAATGAAATCCGTCTTTTATAAAATTAAACAAAAAGATTAGCAAATAAACATACTCCTACGCTTATGTGGGTGCCTAATCACTCATCGAACATTTCTTTTACATGTCATCCCAAATGAGTTTCTACTGTCGACATTGCCGATAAAGTGTTTATCTACACATCGTAAATCGTAATATGAATATCGTCATTGATGTCTGTTTTGAGCACTTAAAATTTTGAATTAGCATAACATGTACTTATCATTTATGATTGAACTAAAAAAATAACATGAACATTTAAAAATACTTTTCATGTGAGAGATGTCTAAGTGCAACTATGATAATCTATCGGTTGTAGTTTATTGCAATGTTTAGGCATGGCTATGTAGATCAAACTGATGTGATCTGTTTAGATAATAAATGGATGTAATAATGTGATTAGTGTAAGTATATTTTGCGCGTTTAATGATTAAGATCTATTATTATTATATACTAAAGCACAATCTAGAGAGAGAAAAAATAGAGAGGTTGGCTAGAAAATACCACAAAGAGTAAAACATATGGGTGTAGTTCATGTGGACCGTTAACTGTAAAACGACAATCAAGGGGTTAGATCTAACTCATAAGAGGAAATGCATTGCTAGCATGATTTGGACATTACGTAGATTTAACATGTATGATCAGTTATACTTCTTCCGTCTTAAAATAAGTGTCTCAACTTTGTACTAATTTTAATACAAAATTGTACTAAACCTAAGACACTTATTTTAGGACGGAGAGAATATATGATAATGTAGATCTAAAGATTATGGAATTATTAGACACAATTAAGAGAATCTATAGAATGTGATTATGTAGATCTAACAAGTACAACCGATTTAGGTGAGGTTACGCAGATCTAGCAATTGTGATCTACTAATAGAGAGATGATCGATCGGCATGTGTTTTTGTTTATGGGAATTTCTAGCACATCTCTGTACTTTTTTTACCGTACTATGGTTTTAGTATTTAATAATAGATAGATAAATTATTAAAACCTATTGACCATATTTATTAATCACATTGAGGTTCATCGGACAGATGGTTAGATGTTTTACCTTTTTTTGGTCTGGAAAGTGGAGTGTCGTAGTTTTACGTGATATTAAATCAATATGAAATTATGTTCCATTTGAATATATTACATTCATACCGGGATAATTTTTTAGTTGCAAGCTGTCGTCGGAGCTGGTTGTAGTTTTATGTGATATGATTTATTTTTTTACTTTTTTTAGAGTGAAAAACGTCATGGAAAACCCCTATTGCACCATTTTCATTTTTTTTTTATAAAAGTAGGGCATTGTATGAAAACAATACATAATAATGTACTCCCTCCGTCCCATAATGTAAGACGCTTTTGCAAGCTAACATATCTTGCAAAAACGTCTTACATTATGGGACGGAAGGAGTATTAAATTTGTTCAATAAAAATGGTACTCCCTTCGTTTTTATTTACTCTGCATATTAGAGTTGACTGAAGTCAAACTTCGTAAAGTTTGACCAAGTTTATAGAAAACAATATAGACATTTATCATAATAAATCAATATGATGTGAAAGTACATTTAATAATAAATCTAATGTTGTTGATTTGTTATTGTATATCTTAATATTTTTGTATATAAACTTGGTCAAAGTTTGTAAAGCTTGACTTTGACCAAAGCTAATATGGGAACTAAATAAAAACAGAAGGAGTATAATGGATCGACCAAATGAAAACTTTAGTCACAAGCTATAGTTACAGTTAGATGTTTTTTGTGTGCAAAGACGACGTGTTGTAGTTTTATGTGAATGTGATATGAGTATTAAATAGGAAATTATGTTCCGCTCAAAATACATTCATGATGTCAAAAGAATATTTTGTTGCAAGTTGTGGAATGTAGCCGTGTGTCATTTTATGTGGAATGAAACTAATACTAAATATATCATGATACATAATATAACTGAGAAAAAGTGTTTCGCTCCGCTTTAGATTATAAAGCAACATCCAACCGATACAACCAGCTGGATGGGGCCGCAGCACAAACAAGCCCAAAATAAAAAGGAGAGAAAGAAAAAGGAAACAAATGCCGACGCCGGCATCTCAACTAAGCAAAGATGGCCGACATCCGCTGCACCCTCCGGAGAAGTACCACCGCCCGCCAAGCACTCCGAAGCCTCGTGTACCAAGCAATATCTTCATGAAGAAATGCGACGACGACGACGCCGTTGCCCGGACAAGTCCTAGGGTTTCCCTCGGTACGCGGATGGCAGTGGGGAAGGGGTATCACCGACGCCCCTCAGGAGGGTCCGGCAACGCCCACGGGCGTAGCCGTGCCGGTGGCGAACGAGCCGCTAGAGATTTCTCCCGCCCCGGAACCACCGCCGCCACCCCACACAAACGGAAGCGCACCGCCCAACATGCCGCCCACCAACCTGTGACCACGGATACTGCACCATCTTCACCGTCTCACTGAGGCCACCAACACGAGACCTGGAGGTAGGACGAGAGGACACCGGGCTCGGCGGCAACCGCAACGCATCCGACAGGACATAGCGACAGGGACTTGCCAAGCCACCACTGGCCCGGCCGGACCCCAACGGGTCCGGACAGTCCCTGCAACCACGCTGCAGCACATCGGCCGCCGAAGCCATCACCACCACAACCACGGCCGCCTCGCCTCACCACCAGGAAGCTACGCCGTCGCGCCCCGGACCACAGGCTCGACCCAGCCCAGATGGGGCCCAAAAGGGCCCAGATATGGGCCTAGCGGGTGCCGCCGGCCAGCCGCCCACCGCGCTGAAGGAAATATGCCCTAGAGGCAATAATAAAGTTATTATTTATTTCCTTATATCATGATAAATGTTTATTATTCATGCTAGAATTGTATTAACCGGAAACATAATACATGTGTGAATACATAGACAAACAGAGTGTCACTAGTATGCCTCTACTTGACTAGCTCGTTGATCAAAGATGGTTATGTTTCCTAACCATAGACATGAGTTGTCATTTGATTAACGGGATCACATCATTAGGAGAATGATGTGATTGACTTGACCCATTCAGTTAGCATAGCACTTGATCGTTTAGTTTATTGCTATTGCTTTCTTCATGACTTATACATGTTTCTATGACTATGAGATTATGCAACTCCCGTTTACCGGAGGAACACTTTGTGTGCTACCAAACGTCACAACGTAACTGGGTGATTATAAAGGTGCTCTACAGGTGTCTCCGAAGGTACTTGTTGGGTTGGCGTATTTTGAGATTATGATTTGTCACTCCGATTGTCGGAGAGGTATCTCTGGGCCCACTCGGTAATGCACATCACTATAAGCCTTGCAAGCATTGCAACTAATGAGTTAGTTGCGGGATGATGTATTACGGAACGAGTAAAGAGACTTGCCGGTAACGAGATTGAACTAGGTATTGAGATACCGACGATCCAATCTCGGGCAAGTAACATAGCGATGACAAAGGGAACAACGTATTTTGTTATGCAGTTTGACTGATAAAGATCTTCGTAGAATATGTAGGAGCCAATATGAGCATCCAGGTTCCGTTATTGGTTATTGACCGGAGACGTGTCTCGGTCATGTCTACATAGTTCTCGAACTCGTAGGGTCCGCACGCTTAAAGTTCAATGACGGTTATATTATGAGTTTATGTGTTTTGATGTACCGAAGGAGTTACGGAGTCCCGGATGAGATCGGGGACATGATGAGGAGTCTCAAAATGGTCGAGACAAAAAGATCGATATATTGGACGACTATATTCGGACATCGGAAAGGTTCCGCGTGATTTGGGTATTTTCGGCAGTACCGGGGAGTTACGGGAATTCGTATTGGGCCTTAATGGGCCATACGGGAAAGGAGAGAAAGGCCTCAAAGGGTGGCCGCACCCCTCCCCATGGGCTGGTCTGAATTGGACTAGGGAGGGGGGGGGGCGCCCCCTTCCTTCCTTCTCCTTTTCCCTTCCCTTTCCTTCCCTCCTACTCCTACTACTTGGAAGGGCTCCTAGTTCTACTAGGAAAGGGGGAATCCTACTCCCGGTGGGAGTAGGACTCCCCTAGGGCGCGCCATAGAGAGGGTCGGCCCTCCCCCTCC